ATATGATATATATATATATATATAATATATTTAAACATGAAAATAACTATGTAATATAATATAATTTAATATTACATCATAAATTCATAAATATATATAATAATACATTAAAATTGTAATTATTAAATGATATGTTGATAATATTTATAATAAATCAGGCATATTCTCTTTTTTCTTATTCTGATATGTATTTTTTTTATTATATATTAATAATATATTCTATATATAATATATACACATACATTAAATAACACTGTAACAATTATTTCCATGTTTTCTTTATTTCACTTTTTAAATATTATATACTACATAATTAACTCTTCATTATAACAATATATGTTTGACAACTTTTTATTATATTTATTGAATAGGATATATATTTCAAAACATACTAAGAATAAAGGATCTTTTTAATATAGTTTATTTCTTTAAAATGAACTCTTGCGTAATATTACATTATTAGTTTTATTATTATGTATTTACTTCATTTCATATTTAATACTACATTACATTTCTTGATTTAATTATATACAATAAAAAAAGTTTTCATTCGTACTTTTTTTTTTTTTGAATATATGATTCAATTTATATGACAAGCTGTAAAAAACATTATTTTGAACCCTAACTCGTCATTATATTTATAAAAATATAATTATAAAATCAATTTATTTCATAATATGCTAAAAATATGGAATGTTATTATTTAATAATTATTTTTTTCAGGAAAGAACATATCATATATAATTTCCATAATTAATATTATAACATGTGAATAACAAGATATTATTTATAAAAACAATTATTAATCATATAAAATTTATAAATTTTTTAATTTAAAATTACTACATATTTATATTATAACAAACTTTTCTGATGGTTTATATAACGTTAATTATTCATGAAAAAGTTCAATTTTTGCAGTAAATATTTTGCATGATATTATTATGATTCATAAGGCTATATAAATAATTGACTTATAAATATTTTCTGCTGATTAAGGTTTAATATATACTTTACAAAAAATATGAAAAAATTACAGTAAAAGGAACATTTTTTCGAGTAGATATTAAGAGTATTTAAATATGTTCTTTCCAATATTCGTCAGAATTATCAAAAGGAAACATACATTCCAAAATTTAACTAAGATATAATATAGAATCATTCATGTATGACATAAATCATGCGTAATATTAATTCTTAATATGAACGAATGATATGAAAAAATAGCTAATATCGTAAATTGTAATTAATTATAAAAAACATATTATTATAAAAATATAAAATTATCTTATATACTAAAAATATTGTTTTATAAATATCAAGGTTTTTTTTTTATAAAGCTTATTTTTACTTAAACTGCCAATAATACAGATGCATTTTTTGCAATACGTGCAAAAATTAATATAAAAAAGTTATAATGACATTTCATGTAATGCATTTTTATACACGCATTAGAGATTTTACCATAATATCTTTGTAATATTTACATATCATAAAATAAATATAAGATAACTGTATGCATAAGATGAATATACATGAACATACATAATATTATATAAATAAATTGTTGTGAAAAATAAATAATTTATAAATAGTCTAACAAATTTTTTATTATATACCTTATTTATTATATATATCATGTATTGTAAAAATAGCTTCATAATATTGTTTTACGTGTATATAAATATTAATGAAAGTATAACAATATAACAAATTCTTAAACCTTCAATAATTTTAGATATAAAAAGAACTAATAACTATATTTAAATAGTAAACCCGGAATTTAAAGAAAAACAGGAAAAATTTTAATGTCATAGTTTTAATCTTCAATGCTAAACATGAAATTCTGAACAATGCATACATTAAATTATTTCATTATTCCTTAAATACAATATATAACCAAAAGGGTTTTTAATTTTACTAAGTATTTAAATTATATAAATATATATATCATTATATACTAATAGCATAATTATAAAAAATTATAATTCATAATTAATACAAGTAGTTCGCCTAAACATATATACCTGTTTATATACAATGTTCTCTGTATTATTTTAATGTATGTATATATCATTTTGTATCAATAATTATTATGCTTATAAATTTTATAAAATATTTTACTAACTATTTAAATAACACTAATAATTATAGAATATATAATGATGTCAGAGGATATTATACTGGACTTAATTAAAGAATGCGTAAGCTAGAATAAATGATAAGAATATATTATTATATACATAAACAAGCATAATAAATATAAAGATAATGAGTCCTACGTCTTTAATAAATTAAAAATTGAAATTAATTGTATACATATAATAAATTAATTAGTGATATTAATGCATATTTATGTTATTATTGAATTCCTTCATTTTTTATTTATATATTAGGATAATTGTAATGATAATGTTTTTCAAGGTGATAATGAATTATTCAAAAAATTGGATAGTAAGCTAGAGGATTATGATTGCAATAATACTTGCCAATTGCATACAGTTTATAATATACCAAATAATAATGATATTAAAAAATTTTATTTATTTTTGTATAATAAAATATTAGATATAAGACATTATGATAATAATAATTGTACTTGTTTAAATTTATGGATAAAAAAAAAAGAAATACAATACAGAAATAATTCTTTAACAAACAATTATATGCAATTATGGAATAATCTTATTAAAAAATTATTCCAGGAATTACATTCAACGAGTGCTGATGGTTGTGATGATGATTATTGTTGCAATTGGAAACCAAATATACCTGAGTCAATATTTTCATCAGAAATAACAAGTGGAACAATCAAAGTATCAACTGTTTTTTCTAGTGAATTATCGTTAAAAAATTCTTCTTTTTTTCATTCACCAATAAAATACATTTTGTCTGTTTGTATTACTATGTTAATATCAACTATTTTTATATTTTACCTTGTATATAATGTAATGCTAAAATTATTTTACATAAATAAGTATGCCTTCTAAAAAATACTTAAAATAAAAATACGAGGATTACATATATTTATACATATATATTTTATTTTAATACATTTTTTATAATTAGTCAAACAGAATAAAAACCTTTTTATATAATAAAAGTATATTAAAGTTCTTAATAAAGAAAAACTTTAAAAAACCTAATATATATGGAAATTATGAGGATTTTTTATTAGATTCAACGAATAATAGGATCATGGTACCGTATATGTCAAACAATAATTTTTAATGAATGTAGATCTGAATATTATGCATTTGATATTATAATACTATAATTAAAATATTTGTTTCAGTAAGATAGTATTATGAGAAGGACTTAAGAGTAAATTTAAGAAGAACAAAATATATTTAGAAAAATATTATAAGAGTAAATATAATCAAAGAAATTCTAAGTATATATTAGTACTTGAACAAATATACACAGTATACTAAAATGAAAAAAGTAACAATTATACATAAATATATTATTCGAATTATTTTAAGAATAAATCCATCGCAATATTTATATATCTCTGATTCCATTGAAATATGAAAATAGTATTTTCATTATATATGAAGAATTTAGTTATATTACATTTATATATATAATATAAAATTATATATGTACATATTTTATATTCATATGCTAGTATATTATAATTTTTTATGTGTTTAAATATAACTACAAAATTTTAGGATATCTGATGTATATATAGTGATTCTGTATCATATTATATATTCAAGAATTTTTTTTTTTTCTGAAATTATTATTAGTCAATATGTTTTGTTGTGTTACTATTGTCTCAATTATTATAATAAAATAAAAGTATAAATATATATTTTTTTCTCATATGCATGTATATGAATAAACTAACCAATTAAATTATAGATGATTAAGAGTATTATATTTATTGTTTAAATATAATTAATTAATTGTAATAGAATTTCATGAATCACATAGAGATTATGAGTAAAAAATTATTATTATACTAAATATATGAAGTTCAAAAGAAATATTCTTAGAATTATGATTACGTAATAAACTTAAGCTACATAAATATAAATGTTATTACAATGAATCATTGGGCTTTTCATAAGATACTTATATATGTTTCCTAATAATATTTCTATGAATTTTTTTTTCTGTGTCAGTAATATCATTTATTGCATTCAATATAAAATTAGGCATATTATTGCATATATTTTTCAAAATTAATATAAATAAATACAACATTTATATTTTTTTTTCTTATCCAGCATTTAAAAAAATTTATTAATTATACAATTATCAGTTTTTGTAGCTAAAAATAATTCAAATTATATCACTGAACTGAAATATTTATTGGAATTAAATGTCATATTGCTCTAAAATAATATATCAAAGAAGACCTTTTTAAATATAACATTAAAGTTGATATATGTGAAATCACATATATGAAATGTTACGATTCAGACAAATGCGCACAGTCATACATTACATATTATAATATCTTTAAAAATAAATTATATATCTACATAATAAATAAATGAAATAAGATGAATAATACATTATTCAAATAATCATGTTAATCCTAAATAAGATTACATATAAATCACTTATTAAATATACATACTCTCAACATTATACCGTAATTTATGTCTTCAATTCAAATGATATATAAAAATATCGTCTATGTATATGTTCTTTGGAGCTGATCTCCTATTGTATTCAGCTTACAATATAACATTTTTGATAAAAGTATATAATTATATATTCATTATTATTTACCTCATAATATCAATAGATTGCACAAATAAATCACTTTTAATATTGCAATTATTTTCGGAAATCATTAATTTAAAATTTTTGAAGATTATAAAAATTAGAAAAAAAAATTAAAAGATAAAATGTGTTGCATAGCTTTGAAGAGGAACTTTTCCTATATTTTTTATATTATACAATATTTTTGAAAATTCATATTATATAAGAAAAAACGATACTTTTATCACAATGACGTAGGAATAATTAACCTAATATATAATTAGTAGAAAATGTAATGTAATATACGGATATTATATATATTATTATATGTAATGTATAATTAGGTAATATGATGAAATTCAATAGATATATATAAATCAACATTTTACATGATAATCCATCTCAAATTACTTAAAACATAATAATGAATAAATAAAATAATTATGCCCTTACATTATATGTAATATGAAATTTTCGGATGTTTTCTAAAGTAAATAATTTAGAGGTTTGCGCAGCATTCTCCTCATCAAGTTATACTTTTATATATCAGTATTTTACTTTAATATATAAGTATAATTAGCAAAAATATAATATTCACTGTATATTTTATTTCTAAATTATAATAAAATATTTTTATTTTTTTTAAAACATAGAGCGAAATTTTTATAATAGAATTAAATATTCTGAAATAATATAGAAATGTATAATATATTTGATTCCTTGTAACATTATATATTTTTAACATATACAATATGTATAGTAAATATATATTTCTTATATTGTATGTACCTAAAAAATTAATCATAAGATAATTTTTCGTATAATGATTTAATAATTTTAATTAATGCCATTTAATAAAAAATCATTAATTATATAATATTATATATATATTATAATTTTAAAAAAAATAAAAAGAAATTTATATAAATTATTACAATTTTTTATACAATATAATTAGCACACATACAATTATAGCAAAAGGGAATAATTTTATATTGACAATTAATGCAAAATAACAACTATTAAAATACTGGAAAATACATTTTACAAACATGTTACTAAGAATAAGTTTTTATTCCTTCTTATTTTTTATTCAAATTGTGGGATAAATATTGTAAAATATATTATATTTAATATCTAATATGTTTAATTCATATTAATATTCAAATAAATCATCATACAAAAAATAAGATAATTGCATATTTAATGTTAAGAAAAATAATATATTCCTCAATCATCCCATTTAAAAAAAAATATGTTTATTCTACACAATTATGTGTATATGAATTACGGAATATATAGTTAAATATTAAAAAGTATATATTATTTAAAAGAATATACTAAAAAAGTACAAATGGTGTAATATGTACTCTTATAATGATATATTAGATAATAACTATATATATGTGATAGATATACGAAAATATGCATTGATATATATTCATAAATACAATTTTGTAATTAAATAAATTCATAAATAATATATATCATAAATATAGAAATAAGTATATATGAAATTAAAGATTATATTGGGTTTTACCTTCTACGCTTATTATGTATTACTTATAACCATTGGAATTTTATATAAACATATTAAAATATAAAACATTCTATGATAATTCATTGTAATTATTACTTATGTATATTAAAGTCTCATTAATGAGTTTACTAATGATTGAATCATGAATCCTATTTATTCTAGTATTATATAATTTATAATTTCACACGGATAAAGGAAATATATTAAAGAATTTAAAATATAAAAGAGGGTTAATTATTTATATGTTAAAACTAATAAGAGGAATTAGTATTGAATATATACATATTTTTATCATTTTTAATGTTACTGAATTTATTTAATTTTTATACAATTTAGAATAATTATTAATATATTTTATCAACAGTAAACATATTTTAATATTCAATTCTAAATAACATATATAATGTTATTTTGTTTCCACATAATAATTAAAAAAATACTTTATGTTAAATAAATGATCACTTCTTCTATTTATTTTGTATAAAATTTGATGTATAATTATATTATTCATGTTTAAAAATTAATTTGGGAATTATGAATAATATAAAAGTTGCCCTCCTCATATTCTATGTCTACATTGTAAAAGTTTAATATAAATTTGTTCATAAATTATATTATGTCATTTATTTCATTTTTAATGTAATATAACCATATAATTATGAAAAAGTGTGTTTTATACTTATATATTTACAATAAAAATAAAAATAAAAATATTTTAATATTATATTTACCATAAATATTTTAATATGTTACTGATTATAATATTATTTTTATTAATATAATTATTATTGTTCCTTTATTAGTATAACTATATATATTTATTTCCTTTGTATGATGAAAATAAAAAATCTATTAATGATGAATATGAAAGGGGTTTCATGTTATACTGTATAAAAGTCACTAGTGTATATTAAGAAATGCAGTCCGATTTAGTAGCATATTCAAAAATATTTTTTCATATTCTTATAGTATGCAAACAAAGAAATATACTTATAACAATTTTATAGATGGAATCATTGTATACTTTCTTTATTCCTTATATCATGCCTACCTTAAGGAAAAACCTAATAATAATATCATTGCAAAAAAGCTTTGTGATGCATTGATCAATCTAAATAATGATGAAGTAGACGGAATATGCGAAGGTTACAAAAATATTAATATAACTCAAGATATTTTGAGAAAAATGAAAGAACTATATGGTATGAATACTATTATTAATGAAATAAATTCTGATGGTTCTGAAGATGAAACATGTGAATGCCCAAATAAATTTGTTATATTATATAAGGGATATAAGGATGAATGTGATCCCGTAGTTATGAGTATTTTTGTAAAATATTAGATAATTATAAGTATATATATAATTCAAAAATGCAGCTCTTATGGTTGGTATTGCTGAATATCAAATATTAGATGCATATAAAAAAAAAATAATATTTTCCTTACTATGGTGAGTTGTAATTCCTGGATCATTACTTCTTTTTTTATTTTTCTTTCTTTTTATATAATGTTAATTATCACATAATACAGATAAATAATACAAAACTATTATTCTAAATTATTCTGAGAAAAAAAAAAAATATATCTTAAAATTTTATAAATGGTACAGCACTATTTGTTTTAATTTGAATTAGTTTAGGAGAAATGTTCCATGTTTGTATAGCGGAATATATAGAAAGCGAAATATATATAATAATGTGAATGAAGAATGGATTTATTAATACAAACTGACGTAACGCAGAGCATTGCAAAAAAGGGAAAACATAATATATCATCTCATTCTGCTTAATTTCATCGTCATTTATATGTTCTAAAGAGGAAATTTTGTTTTAATATGATATGAAATAAACATATTCTTCATTGTATAGAATAATATTATAGCAAATTTCATAGTAATTATATTTTTCTTGTGGGATATAATATTAGAAACAATATTAATATGTCAGTTTAGTTATTTAACAATTCAATATAAATAATAAAATAGTCTTAAACATGTCATTAATTAAAAATCTAAATAATAAATATAAACAGAAGATATATATGTTTTGTTTGATCTTTTTTAATATATAACAACTTGTATAGAGTTTTTTCCATTTTCTATTTTTCTTTACGTAAATGCAGTATAATCTACCAGTAAGGACATTATACTGTACATCTAATTTAGTAATATATATACAAATTATAAAATGCATTAACAATTAAGAAAAGTCTATATATTTTTTTTTTATATATAAAGGATTTAAGGATCAGAATTTTAGTGGTAAGTTTTCTCGGTTTATATTTTATGATTAGAATATAAATTTTACTGTTTATTTTATTATTCTTTTTAATTATTACTATTCTACAGTTTCTACTTTTTTATAATGCTTTGGATGTTTCTAGTATCAAGATTTACAGTTATATTATATTAATTCATCGAATCATGTTAATATTATAATTTTCATTTATATACATCAAATAAAATGTGGACCAGGAATGTAAATGATATAAAAATGTTATGTAATTTTAAATGTATATATATCTTAATATCATTGAATAATATATATATTTGTATATATTTATTTTTATTTTATATTTGAATACATATTATTCACACATTTATTGTTCCAAAAAGACTATTTTATTATAATTGACATTATAGCCTAATTTTCAAGTATAAATGTAATTCACGTCCAACAATATCTGTTACATACAGAATTCCTATGGTATTGTTTGTTTATTAAGTACTGCTTTTTCCTTTATCATTTCATATAATCCTTTAAATAAAACTATAACATTGAATCAAATAAGTAATATATTATAGAAAATTATGAATATACAGCTCATTTTTATTGAGGGATATGTTATCCATAACCTTTTTTTATATATTTTTTAATATATATATATATTTATTCATATCGCTCGGTTGTGAATACAAATATAATTTTATTTTTTCAATATTATATATAAGCACAAATGTTTATGAAAAATAATATATTTATGGTATATGATTCAGTGTATAAATAAGAAAGAAGATAAATATTAAAGTTTTTTACTTCTACTTCTTAATTTAAAATGTAATAATTACTATTTATATAGCAATAATGGGTTTCCTAGATGATTTAAAAATTACAGCACAAATTGAATTAATAAAATGTACACCTGATGAATATAAAATATATGTATATTCTAATAACGCAGTGTAATACTCATTTAACATTTATAAATGTTGCATATTTAAAGGAATAATTTATTCCCTACTAAATCCTAAAAATGTTATTAAATAATATAATAGATGAATTATTAAATCATAACCTAAATCATGCTATTATAGTAAAAATATATATCAATTGTATAATACATAAAAATTGCGATAGGATAAATAACATAGTAATTCATTTTTATAAATATGCTTATATGCAAAATAATGTAAATTTTATGAATAAATAAAATAAAAAATTAAAAAATCAAGTATGTTATAGAATATTAATTGTTTAATGACGAAAGAAATATAAGAATTAATAATATAAAAAATTATTAAATGATACATATAAATAGTGTAAAATAATGTAAAACTAAATTTCTATATATACAATAACGTATTTGTACTATAATACAATGTTAACATATCTTATATCAATCAAAGTTTTCCAACATTAAAAAAACTAATACAAAGTGATATCAAAATAGGAAAGGGTATTTTCTATACAATATGAAATAAATCATTATTAAGTTTTTTCTCCTTATAATTTACATAAATAATATAAGATATATAATAATTTATGTACTTTCAGAATACATGTAGGTATACATATCATTATAATAAAAATTTAATAAAATATATATATATTATTTATGTAATCCCAATATATAGAACAGATATTATAATTCAAACACCAATTTGTAAAAAAATAATCTTAATAATATAAAAAAAATCCTAAAAAAAAATATATAAAAGCTTAGGGGTGTATATAAAATCATAAACCCTTAAACTCTATATAGCAAACCAACAAATCAAATCCATGAAACATAATTCTTGAACCCTAAATCATGAAATGATCATTTCTATATATATTATAATAATATTATTTCTTTCAATATGAATTATCATATATATCCTACAGCATATTAATTCTATTGTTTTGTATTAATATTCTTATAATTTTACAGAACTTTTTTCTTTTATATGATTTAACATATTAGGGAATAAATGTTTCATTTGTATATGTTTTAAATGTATTTATTCTTTTTATAATATTTTGGATTATATGTACATACAAATGTAAAAATGGTTTCTGAATCGATGGAAGTAATGACACATCAAATTTATATTTATTAATTATAACATGTTAATAAATAATTAATTATTATACATATTAAGAGATATAATAAAAATTCAACTTATTCACAAAAGCATAATTACATGTTTATCCTACATTTTTTTTTTAATTTAAGACTTTTAGCGAAAGTGATTTTCCTTCAGCTAAATATTATCAAAGATTTAATGCAGGCATTAGGGCTGCACAAAGAATATCTAACTTTTGTGACGATAGGTCTCTTTCCCCAATTAAAAATGAGAATGTTAAGGCATTTTGCTCATTACTTATAAATTATTTAAAACATAATTACAACTTGTATAATGAAGATAATTATAAATTATATCATTGCAATCTTTTAAATTTCTGGTTATATGAAAAATTAGACAATAAATTTACAAGCTTAGATATACACGTTAATTCTATTTACTCCATATTCCTGAAAATATTGCAAAAAGTTTTTTCTGTTGATTTTTTAAAATTTCCTTACTACTGTCCTTTTAATGATAATATTGCAAAGTACGATGATTGGAAAGAGATAAAAGAACTTTATGAGTACTATGTTGACCGGAATCATATTAATAATTTTTATTATAATAGTGACGATAATTGGGATAATATATGTGCATATCTTAAAAAAAAACTCAATCTATATTATAGATACAAGGATTCTTGTAAATCTCCATATAAAAATGAATGTAAGTTATTTCATGATACATTTAAAACACACAATGAACTACTACTCTTTAATACATTTGATTGTGGACAAAAAGGTAGCGAAGAAACATCAGGTATTGTAGGATTATTTGAAGAACCAGATTTAAGTGTACAATCAGGTTTAAATGATCAAAAAGGTTTAAGAGATAAAACATATGAAGCATCTCTAGAAGTGAAAAACAATTATAGAGATCCATTAAGAGTAACGATTAGTTCTGATGAAGTAGAGTTTACAAATAAAAGTTCTAGTGCCCTCAATATATTTGTTAAAGTGATTCTTGGAGTTTTATTGACTTCTTTGACATTAGGATTGCTATGTAGAGTAAATAAAAATAACATTAATATATATATAATATATAAAGAGGTTACTATTATACATAAATTAAATTAATACAAATAATAAATTAATATATTACATATATTTCATATTAATATTCCATATTCTAGTTTACATCTTTAGGATGTATTGCACGAGATTATTTTAGAATGATAAAAAAGCTCACAAATAATCCAAATGAAGAAATCGATGGATTATTTTATAATAGCTTAGGTAACTCTAGTCATTTTTATGAAGATAGAAAAAAGTATTATATAGGTTATATTACTGAATAATTTTCTTTAATTTAGGATAATTAAGAATCCTGATTTCACAAAAGGATATATGTATTAAATTGAGTAATTTAAATGACCGAATAATCTTGTTCATATATATAAAATAGTAATAATTGATATTTTATATGGGTACATAAATATATTGTATGAATATTTGCATATAATATATTCAAAATAAGAAAAAATATATGCTTACTACAATGTACAGACTAATTGTATATTTAAGATATTACTTTCCATTTTTACTAATGACGAATATCTGATTTTATTATACTCCATTAAGTAATATTAAAAAAAATTACTTTACATTAATGAAAAATGCAATTTTTACATGATTTCTTTCCAGGTTGTAGGTTTGGGACATATATTTTTCTGTACAGATATTCTTGTTTTGTATGTACAGAGTTAATTCTGTACACTGTAAATATTATATGAATTTATTACTTCTTTAGCCTCCGTATATTATGTTGTTTTCATTACTTTGATAATTAATACTTATTACAATTATGAATATATGCTATTTTTTTATATTATTCATATCACATATTATTGTTATATATAATATTTATATTATATATTATCTTTGTAATTTAATTAAACGCTATAGATTTATAAATATATTTTTAATATTGAATAATTATATTTTATAATTATATATTCATATGAGCATTAAATCATATATATATAGTATTTGAATGTTCAAATTACAAAATATATATAAAACACTTATTATCCATATATATTATATTTTAATATGCTATTAAATTTTTAATTCATGATTTAGGATTCAGGGTTTAGGGCTTAGGGTTCAGGTTTTATATTTCAGGGTCTATTATTCATATTTTATTTTTCACGTTTTATGATTTAAGTTACATTATACAGGCTTTTGAAGTTTAGTGTATAGTGTTCAGGGTTTGGGGTTTAGGGTTCAAGGTTTAGTTTTAGTTTATATTATTTAGTGTTTAGTATTTATTTTTTGGTTTTTAGGATTTAAATTTTAGTTTTGAGTATATGCTTCCATGTTTATGATTTTAGGTTTGATAATTTTAGCGTATATGATTTTGTGTATAGTGTATATTGTTTAGGATTCTGCGTTTACGATTCTGGGTTTTTTTTTAGGTTATATTTATTTTTTTACTATTCGGTATATTTTGTGTACAATATTTCCAGGGATTTAATTTTTTGTGTCATATTTTTAATAATATTTAATCATTTTATTTTATATATAATTAGAATTGTATTATTATTTAATTTTATATTTATGTGTATTATTATTATAATACTGCAATGTATGTGAATTATATTAATTTTTATTTGTATTTTTGTTGCAATATTTTTATATAATATTTTATTTTTTATTTATAATTTTTTGTTTATATATATAAATTTTTTATTGTTTTTTCACCACTATATTTGTTATATATTTTTTTTTTTAATATGTATTGCTTCATTATTATTTCTTTTATATTATTATATATATTATATTTGTGATTTCATACGTCATATTATCTTTAATATGCTTTTATTTGTATAATATATTTTTTTTATTAATTATTTTTTTTATTGTATCTTATCATCTAAATATAAAATAATACTCAGCATTATATGTAATAAATTTTATATTCATGTTATTGATATATATGTATTTACTTTTATTGAGTAACATAATTTCCATATGCTCTTTTTATGTAATTTGAGATTTTTATATTTTTTT